AGGAGGAGGAAGAGGAGGGTAGCAGCAGTATTTGGACGAAAACTAATTGTTGTTGCTGCTGTAGTGTTGGTGTTGTTGGTGCTTTTGTTTTCGTTGATCTTGTCGTCGCAGCTAGAGCTGGCAATGCAAACAGGACACAAAAAAAAATAGTCAGCTTCCACAGGCAGAATACGATGACATCAGTAGGATTACGCATCCTAACAACAAGGACAAGAGCCAACCTCTGGGCCCCCTTGCTCCAAGGCCTCGTTGTTACAGCCGTGAAAGGCCCAACACCTCGGCACACGGGACGACTTCGGAATCTAAGCTTCGGGGTTCCACGACTACTACTACGACGACTCCTTCTCCTGCTCCTGTTCGTGCTACTGCAGCACTGCCGCCAAAACTACCACTACTGCTTGGTTTCTTCTCCATGTTCGCTGTAGCATATGACCTTAGTTATTTGTTGTTGTGACAGACGAGAATTGTTCTCTTAAGCTCGTCTCTCTACATGGCTCAGCTCCAATGCCGCAAGCCATCAACCGCAACTCCTCAATCCTGCCAACGCACAAAGTCACAAAGGTACTCTCGGTGTCTGATTTTCAGCTTCAGGTCCCAAACTTCTGAGATCCCTTGAGATGTGCGAGTTCTTCCCGTTGAGCTGGGGCTCCGGCGTGTGGGTGCCGGGCTCGAACTCAACCCCCTGGTCTTCCAAAGACCTTTCCACTCTCGCTGAGCAGCGGCCGCAAGGGAACTGACAAACAAGCGATCTGAATCACACTGAATTCTGAGGCAGAAGACTGTCACCTCCTTCCCCCCCCCCCCCCCCCCACGAGTGAAACTGACTCTGATTGAATGCTCAACCGCCACTTAAGGCCCAAACCGCAGGAGCGACTTGTAGTAGGGTTTCCAGGAGGCATCGCCCTGTGGACCATTTTCCACGCGCTGGATCTGAGCGGGCGTGCTGGGGCGAGGTCACAAGGGTGCGACGCATTCGGCATTCCGATAACATAAACAAGCACGTATGTGTATGATAGTATGCGATTGATATATACACACACACACGTGTATGCACGAGTGCATGCGCGCATGTGCGCTCTCTCCACGGTACATACCCCAGGCCCCGGGCCCGCAAAGCTCGCACGGGTGCCCAGGTCTCTGGAGGCGAGAGGATGTAGGCCTGGGTCGAGCGAGTCCCGAGGGAAGCTCGGGCTTGATGATGGCTAACGCGGCGAAAGGTTTCGGGGGGTGTAGGGCGTTGTAGGGTCCCGGTGTATCATGACTTTGGTATATCAGCATTCGATCGCAAGTCGGCATCAACGATGATGTAACAACTCTCTGAGAGTGTTCATCTTACAAGGCAGGCATCGGCATAGATCAAAAGAAGCTATCAAGAGGGCCGAGATGTGACCTCTTCGGCAAGCCCTGTCACAGATGCGAAAAAGTGCCGCTTTTTGGCTAAAGAATCTTTGAGGGAGATCAAAGAGTCCCCTGACCCTCCAGCTCTCAGTCCGATGCAGGATCTTCGGGCCAGGAAAGTCATTGAACTCCGACAGGAGATTTTAGGAAATTCCCATGGGGTGCTGCGGTGTAAGTTTTTGCAATTCGCGCAGCGGTCCACGGCTTCATGAGCTGCACGTTTACTTTGAAACCCCCAGCAAGGAGTACCGGCCGGCCTGCTGCTCTATCGGCAGTGCCTGGCTGAGCGATGACAAAACGTCTTCAAATCGTGCGGCCAAAGGCCGAAGCTGACAGTGACTGCACTTGTCCCATCACAGGGGGATGCTCCGAAAGACGCAACCCTGGACCCTCGGAGAACCCTTGAAGGAACCCTGATGACAGAAGTCGGGGGGCCTTAAAAGCGGCATTGACCATCCTGTACTCCTCCGTGCCCATGGGCACATCATGCAGATGCTTTCCGCTCTGATGGCCATTTGTAGACCAGAGCCGCATGATCTGCTCGGGGCTGTAGCCTGGTCCATCAATGGGGAATAAGGCTCCTTAAAAAGATATAAGGGTTACTATAAGGGTTCCATAATATATGGGCCTTAAACCTAGTATTCCAATCATCAATGGGGTGTTCCGAAACGGCTACTGCCTGCCAATTCCAATCTACGTTCTCGCTTGAAACTGGTAGGAATGCATTCACACACGAGCAAGTAAATACGCAAAACACTAGAAAACTCAAACGAATAGGTATTAACCGAACAAGAGTACAAAAGCCGATAACACGCAAACAGACCAGACAAACAAACAAGCAAACAACAAACAAACACACACACACACATATGCACATGGATTTACTGGGATATGTAAGCTTGTTTGTTCATGTATCTCACTATCTATCTAACGAGCTATGTATCTAAATCAACAGCTCCTTAGTTGCTGTTAGATACGTGTCAACGTATGTGTTCGTCTCTATCTCGAATATCTATACCTTTGCAATCATTCTACATACATAGACAGGTTTTCATGTGTGCATATATGTGTATATGTGCGTTGCATGTTGGTGCGTAGGAACATAAAGCAGATACCATACATAACATGTATAACATACATAAAACATGTAACCTACATAACATACTTAGTGTACAAAACATTAGAATGTGCATAACATGCATAAACACGCAACATACCTTACTGTAGGGATAGCATACCCAACATATGAGAAATGTCACACTGCAGCGTGGCTGGATCATACAATCCCATACCATACCACGCAAACGGCAGCAAAACAAATACATACATATATGCATGCATGAATGCATAAGTACATGCCTCTCTGAATGTCAATATACCCTAGCTATATATCTGCATCTACATGTCTACATATCTACGTACCTACAAATCTGTACATGAAGCTGTCCATCTACAAATTTACATACCTGTGTCTCTATGATATGTATATATATATATGTATATGTATACCTATCTATGTATTCGTTATACATATGTACATATATACATACATATATATATATATATGTACACATATACACCTGTTTATCTACATGCTCATATGCCATATACATGTTTGTTTATGTCTACACACATGGATTACGGTATAGGCCTGTGAATATTCATATGCATATATATATATATTATATTATATATATATATATATGTATGTATGTATACATACGTACATACACATATAAAATTTATATATATATATATATTTGTGTATATACAGACATAGGTATATCTGCTCCGTATACATGCATACACAATCTGCGTGTCTGTGGCCGTGTAAGTACGGTACATATATATATATATATATGTATGTATGTATGTATATATACACACACTGTATACGCATTGACATGTCTATTCCTAGACCGGGTGGCCACCCGCCTAGCCACAGCTCGGCATTGTTTCTCTCTCGAGAGAGCCTCGCAGGGTGAGTTATATAGTCTGCATCACTGATATACTGTGGATGTGGGGATTCGGGCTAGCGTGGGGATGAAGGTGGTGAAGCTGACCAGGACGAAGAGAAGGATGATTAGACTGGTGACTGGTTAAAGCCAGCATCGTTGGCAGCCCCAGCATGATGTTGACCGTGGCCACGACGATGATGATCGTGAGCGCCGTTGCGACCATGATCATAGTCATGATACAGGTCATCAGCATCATCTTCTTCTTCACATTTATGTGGCTAATGTGAAATGGACTGCTGCCGCGGAAGACGACAACTACAACGTCGATGACAAGGACGACGCTGCCTCGAAACCCTCCGCACCCACCTTCTTCTCCGGTTCAACTGTATCGTAGAAGGTACCGTTTGGCTGATGTACCCTACGGTATTTGGCGTCACTAGGCTACCTTCGGCGTACTTCGGAAAATTGGACGACTTGAACATCCTGACTCGTGTAAGCATATTCTACTGTGCTCCGGTGTGCTATCATTCTTAGTTTCCCTACCGTGACACATAGTAGTTTGCTCGTGATGTAACCGAGAAGAAACGATATTACGTCAGCCTCGTAAATGCAATGATGACATCGAACGGCAATGTTGGAAGCAAATCGCAGAATGACAACTGGTAAACTTGGAACACGTGATGACGGCGACAATTGCTCAACAATCTCATTGCTGCTAGCAAAGACATCCCAAGCGCTTCTCAAAAAACCGAAAACGGCAAACGTTGTAACTCCGGCAGCTCGCAGCTGCTCCTGGCACTGCTGGCCACGTCTTGCTCCTCTGTTCGGTACCGGTATTGCGTTCGAAGACCGTTCGCAAAGACACCCCCAACAGCTCTGTCCACAACATGCATTTAAGACCGGAACACCCGGCCCGCAAAACAGACCTCCTCTAGCTTCACCCCCAACTTTACGGCCTGGACCTATGTGCTCGAGCTATCCGTTGCGCCTCTCTTTCCAGGTCCGGTGAAAGTGCATTTCTGGACCCTCCTTGCCTCGGATGCGGTAGCAAAACAGTGATGAGAACCAAGAACTGAACTCGTGGTAGTGGTAGAGGCAGTAGCTGTGCTAGCAGGAGGAGAAGGCGGAGGCACTGCTAGTGCTATCACTACGACTGGCAGGAAGCAGTCGTGGGGGGAAGCGGGGAAAGTTTGAGGCTAAGGCGTGTGGGGCTCGAAGCCGGGGACTTGACGGCACAAGAGAAGGTGCATCGCCTGAACTTTCATAACCCTAAACAAGTATGGCTCATATATTTTATCGGGATTCATAGTATACGGGTATGGGGCCCCTACTTCTATCCTACTCTATCCTGCCATACAGGGCGAAGCAGTCAGGGGAGCGGCAGAGCGTCGCATCAATGAGCCGAGGGAGGACGTCGTGGTGGAGCAAAGACTCCTGGTCAGTAGGGCGGCTTGAAGAGGGTTTAGGGTTAAGGGCACAAGGTGTAAACACCAGGGCCGCCGAGGATCGCGGCAGGGTCATCCCCTGGCTCACCTCATAGCCCCAGCTTAATGTACAAAAACACTACACAAAAACATCGACACAAGCGAAATCAAACCCTGATCCATTCTGCAACCCGCCAAACACCACGAACTGGGAAATCAACAAACATCCCCAGGACCCTCACACCCCGAACCTGAGACATGTCCTCCTAAGACAGGTTCGGCTTAGGGTTCCGGGTAATTTAATGAAGCAGGCACGCCGAGATCGGGCATTCTGCAGTTAAGTAAATGACCTGGGGCCTGGGATCTTAATGATTCATGAAGCAGAAGAAATCAAGTCTAGTCGATATCAGAATTGCCCTGAAATTTAAGTTGAAAGTTCTGGCTCTTGAAAGTTTTGCTCACAATACTCAAATTTCGCAATGCTATACTCTCCACCTGCCTATGTGCTGCTCACAGGAAGGCTCCTGGTTGTGGGTGTCGCCTTGCCGCGAGATCTGTCCTGGCCACTGAAACTTCGAATCACTCACCAACAGGGTTTAGGGTTTAAGGTCAAACTTGACATGTACACGAAACTCGAGATTGCAAATGATTCAAAAACCGCATTATACCAATATCCCAACTCTACAGACACCGACATCCATGAATAAAAAACGCCTTCTGACTTGAGGCTCCGTTCACCCCGAAAAACAATGCCTGCAGTTTTGTCTGAGACGCCATGCTCACGACGCCAGTCCTGAGGGCAGCCGCCCGCTGTCTGCAGTCCAGTACAAAAACGTCTTGTTCTGCCCTCCGGTGTGCATCAAAGCCTCCGGGTGTCAGCTAGGCTGGGCACTGGGGTCCTTGGCTTTCTCCTGGTGACCTCAACCTGCCCTACCTTGCTTCCTTCCCCTTTCAATTCAGGGCTTCGGGGTTTTGGGGCGTTTAGGGGGCCTCTACAACGTTCGCCAAGGCTTGTATACAAGGGCGGGACGTTGTCTCATACAGCTAAGAGCCCGCATCCAAGACTGGGTCCTTCAGGCACGTAATTTAAGTTACCTGCAGCAAGCTTTTTTCCGACGATAGGCTCAGGCCTGAATTGTCAACTTTAATCAAACCCCCTCGTGGCCAAGCGGCGAATACACTGAACGCCGAGGCAATGCTGGCAAACATGTGTTCCATGTGTTCTAAAACGCCTACATGCTAAAAGTTTAAAAGCGTACTACGGTCTGTACGGTCACCGCTCTGTTTGACAGGCGGCATGCAAAATTGCAATGCTGGATCCGTTGCGTCGGGCACTCCGAACACAATCTTGACGTGCGTGTTCGCCAGAACTCACAACGACAACAGTTTCACCTCAATGCAGACTCGTGCGGTGAGATGAGATGACTGAGAGGGGTGCCCGAAACAATGACTGCTAGCTACTCACAGCACTGAAAAAAACTGCCTACGGCCTACATACGAAGATCACGCGTAAGATCAAGGACTGTAGGGCTTGGAAGAATGGTGGAGGAAAATCCGAAGCTTCCCATCTTCGGTCCTCTTGTAATTGAAGCTGTACTCAACCTTGGACACATTGCCATCGTCGGCACTCGTGAAGTAGTAGTTGCCCATGGCAGCTGCAACGTTGCCATTGATCTCGATCTGGTGGTTCTCAAAGACAGCAGCAGACCAACCCTTGCCACCATTGATGGCAAAGCCGCCGTCCTCCGCATAGCCATTCGCAACGTTTGCATTCCCCACAAAGTACGACAAGGCACCGTTTGCAGTTGGTCGGAACTGGTTCACGGATGCCAACGTCGGTTTGAAGAGCACGTTGGAGTAGCCATAACCGTAAAGCTCGGCGGCTGCTGCTCCAGCCACTGCCACGAAGTCACCACCAGCAAGGTAAGTGTTTGAGATGTTCACGACAGCATTGGCCCAGGCATCTTGCACGGCAAGCACCTCTGCCCGAGAGATTGGCATCTCGTACGGCTTGGAAGAATGGTGGAGGAAGATCCGCAGCTTACCATCCTCGCTCCTCTTGTAGCCGAAGCTGTACTCAACCTTGGACACTTTGCCATCGTCGGCACTCGTAAAGTAGTAGTTGCCCATGGCAGCTGCAACATTGCCATTGATCTCGATCTGGTGGTTCTCAAAGACAACTGCAGACCAACCCTTGCCACCATTGATGGCAAAGCCGCCATCCTCCGCATAGCCATTCGCAACGTT